CTAAATGCGAAAAATACAAATTTTGAAATAAAATTTTTCATTATAATATTGACGTTTTAAGCTTCGATTTTTTTCATTAATTAATTGAATTTTTGTGCAATCAGTGACACGTATTGCATTATTTCTCAAAACTTTCTTTATAATTATCGGAATTGCATAAAAATGCATAGAAAATGTGGCAATGCCGCATGAAGTGGCTATTTCATTTTTCCAAGCTGGTAGTCATGCAGACTATTTTACTCGGTTCAAGTGTGTGGTGTATAACCTATAGGCAAACTGACGAGTCCGTTCCCTCCGTAGCTACCCCCACTTTGGCTAATCCCCACGCACATCTATATCTCCCACCTCTCAAAATGAATAGTCCAGTCAATTTAGATGTTGAGCTCTAAAAAATTCAGCTGGCAATGAAAGAATTCCAATCGATCCGTAAAAATATCTTGAACAATATATCACAATGTTTAATCATAGTTTCAACCGGCAGGTATTCAAATTAATTAAAAACTATCGACTTTATGTGGCGTAACGCCAAGAACTTTAACTGTGCAACTTTAACTCATTCAATTGACGAGAAAAAAATATCAACTTGTAGAGAGAGAATTCCTCTACAAACTTGCACTAAAAAAATGATCTCGGATAAATAATTGCTACGTAAAAAAATCCTGAAGTCTTTTAACCTCAAATGACGCTCAACAATAACATGAGGCTCCGAGACCTGCCCCTTTTCGGCGTGCGGAATTCAATCAAACACGCGCGATGCGCAGTAGGTTTGAACGTACGTTGCGTGCTGTCATATATATTTATCTGATTATCATATCGATTACTATGCAGATGAATGCAAAAAATATCGTTTAATATTGTTTCCAACTGTTCAACTAATTAAATTAAAATTTATTTATGAATGAGAATTTTGAGAAGCCCTAGTTCAAACCTACTACTTTACCGCACGAGTAAAAACACTTTGCCTTGAGGGGCGACGAGTTGTAAAGTTAGAGATAATGAGAAAACAGATGATTTGCAAACCAACTTGAAAATAATAAAAGTATCAAAAAATGGGGGACTACAATTCGTTATTTTTTGATACAATCAATATTCTCTGTAAAATTTACCCCGAATAACTAGAAGATTTGTATCGCCGATTAAATTTCGCGCCAATGAGGTCGAGAGCAACATTATCACACCTCATGGTGGAGTGAACGAAAAACCGCAGAAATCGATAATTTGGGGCTTTATTTTTGAGTATATCTTGGTCAAAAGATCTAGAACAAGGTACAAAGTCACGTAAAAGTGAAATCAAGATTTACTGTCTCGCATATTAGTTTTTTGCGCATTTTTCATTATTTTTAGAGACGTCAAAAAAATCTTCGAATTTAGAGGATGATAATCTCGGCCTTATAGCTGCAGAGAGTACAAAAATAATGAAAATTCATTATTTTTTTCCCCAAACGCAAGATCTGGGGAAATTCTCAGTAATGCAGCATACTCAAATACTTCTTCCCTGAATTTTTCAATTTTTTTAAATTATTTTAACTTTTTACATGAAACAGCCTAAGGGGGGACCCTGGTGAAATTTGAAAGTCTTCGGTTGATGCAAATAACTATCGAGCGACTTTTGATATATTATGGGGTATCTAAAAAAATAATTAAGACTTAATACCCAACCCATTTTACCCTGTACGTCAGGGGAAGACGTCGTTTTTCGTGTTTTTGGCTTTGAAATGCTCCTCGCACCACAATATTCATCTCATTCAAACTTTTCTTTTTTCAAAATGTTCGTTAAATTCTACAGCATAAAACCAAATATTTTGTCAATTATCTTAATTAGATCATAGAACAATTTAATGTTCTCGGTTTACTCGTTTTTTTACTTTTTACACACCATAGAAAAATTAGAATTCTGAGTAGTTGATCATCAACCTTTTTCTCCTAAAAACACCTTTTATATACTATTTTAATTGAAAAATACTTACGTTGAAAAAATATCTAGTTTTATTCTATAGAATCTAACGAAAATTTTCGAAAAAGCAAAGTGTAAATCGGATGAAAATTGTGGTG